CTATGAGTCGGTTCCGACTCAATGGCACCTGACAACAACAACAGTTTCTGTAGACCTAATTTACAGTTTTATTTAAATTTGGTACACTGCAAATATAATCTACATATGTGGGTGACTTCATTAAAAACATGTTTATATTGAGTAATCAGGTTACTACACAAAGCCTACAAAGTTGCAGATTTTCCTAAGTGAAGAGGGATGTGGTTTCCAGAATATCCAATATTGTGTCTATGCATTTGTTTCGGTTTGTTTTTTTTTAAAATATCTCTCTGGCTCTGTGCCACAGCATTATACCTAGTTTTTTGTTCATGATTTGTTGTAAGCAGATTGTTTGGGGGTAAGAAACTGTTAACCAAATAAAATGTATAGTCCTGTCTCTGTCTTTAGTCAGTAAAGTCAGAGCGGGCCAGGGAGTCTTAATGTTCGGACATGGTCTATTAGCAGAGGCAGAATCAGATTAAGTGCCTTTGTGCAATGGTAACTTGTTCTGTATTCGGAATCCCCAGTATCATCTGTCAGTGTATTTGAAACAGGGTGATTGAGTAATGTCTCAGTCTTTGTTTGCTATCCCTGTCTGGGAGATTGGAGAAAAACGCTAGAGTCTAGCATTTTCAGTCAGTCCTGCAGAAGAAAGGAGTGGACAGTGTTTCCCTTTATTTCCAGAAGGGGGCAGCATTCACTAAGGCAGCTGCTCAGGTCTCCTGGCAACTTTCTGAAACAAACTGTGGTACAGGAGTTTGAAAGGTGGAGGGAAGGCACATTCAAAGTTTTGTGCATAAATGGTAAGAAATGTGTAGCTGTATTTTTGCTGTAGTTTTAGGTAGTACTCTAAGCTGGTCACTTCCTGGCCGGTATGATAAAGTGAGATCCCCTCTTTCTTTGTTTTAGGACCCTCTCTAAGCAAAGAGGAGTCCTGGTGTGGCGCTGTGGGCTAATGCATCAGACTGCAAAGTCGTTTAAACTGCAAGGTCGGTGGTTCAAGCTCACCTGCTGCTCCTTGGAAACCCTATACAGGGTCGCTATGGGTCAGAATCGATTCGATGGCACTTAACAACAACTAAGTAAAGACCGTTGGTGGTACAGTGGTTAAGCACTCAGCTGCGGACCCTAAGGTCAGCGGCTCAAACCCACCAGCTGTTCTACTGTTGTTGCTACTGTGGGAGAAAAGTCTGGGCAGAAAGACTGCAGTTTAGGAAACCCTACGGGGCAGTTCTATTATGTCCTATGAGATTGCTGTGAGTCAGAATCCACTCCACTGCACACAACGGCATCTAAGCAGAGAATCGTTTTCCATGTGGTGGTTTCATGCTTTCCTGTCACCTGTCTTCTGGGCAGATTGGATGAACTGAACCTCTCCTGGTGTTTTGACTTCACTGCAAATCATTTGCAAATTGCTGTGGAGCACGTAACAGAAACCATCACCCAGCTGAATCTTAGCGGCTACCGGAAGAATCTTCAGCAATCAGGTAAGAGCCACAGGGTCTGGTCCCCTGAGGCCTTAACAACAGTAGCCAACAATAATAATTATAAAAGATCTGATTAGGATGTATGGCACTGCAGGATAAGCACTGGCGTGCTCATCACAAGGTTGGAGGTTCAAACCTGCCAGTTGCTCCTCGGAAACCCTATAGAAGGTCACTATGAGTCAGAACCAACTCGATGGCACTTAACAACAACAGTCTTCCCAATGCTACTGTCTATAAAGTAGCTCACTTAATCCAGTGCTCATTGTAATTATTCCCATCTTTAGCTGAAGTAGCAGCTGATGAAGAAGGGTTAGAGAAAGGCAAACAGCTACAGGCAGTCCCTGGGTTGGGAACCGCAAGGCCAGCAGTTCAAGTCCACCAGCCACTCAGCCAGAGAAAGATGGGACTTTCTGCTCCCGTAAAGATTGGCAGCCTCAGAAACCCTCTATAGGGTCGCTATGAGTCGGAACTGATTTGACATAACAACAACAACAAACATGTGACTCCAAGGGATTTTGACCTCAGCACCTGGATGAATGGAGTACTATTTGCTGAGCTGGGAAAGACATTAGGGAAGAAACTGATTTAGGCAAGAAATTAAGTATTTGATACTAAAGAAGTATTTGGTACTAGAAATAAGCTTGAGATGCCGGGCATATTTCCAAATGGTCATATTGATGAGGTTGTTATAAATGCAAGTATAGGATTCAGAAGAGGGAATCTGACTGGAGATGTAGCTGCAAGTGGGGGGGTGGGGAATTGGAAATGCTGATAGTGTGTGCTTTCTCCCACCTCCCACACTGTAGGATAAGCACTTGACCTTAAGGTCGGTTTGAACCGCAAGGTTGGCAGTATTAAATCACCAACTGTTGCTCGGAAACCCTATGCAGGGTCGCTATGAGTTGGAACTGACTCGATGGCACTTAACAACAACAACAACAAATAGCATTTATGGACTCACTTTGTGATGATGAAAATTGTTAAGTTCTGAAAAGCCATCTATGAGCCACCACCCTTGAAAACTGCAGCTAACATATTGGTGTATTTTCTTCTAACCTACCAGCCCTGCTCCTTCCCTTTCTTTTTGGTGTTTTAACTAAATTGAGATTGCAGGACATTGTGTACATTTTGTTTTGTTTTCACTATACGATACGGCTTTCCCCCAAACCTTTTGAAGTCCTCTCCTACAGTATAAGCCCTGAGTATTTTTTATGCCATGAAATGTATCGAAGTACTTTTTCATAACAACTATTAGCATTGTATTCCATGGAATGGATGAAGTTATGAAACGAATCCTCCATTTGAATTTAGGGGATGTTATTGCTGTAGTGATTATCTGCATCTACATCTGTTATTATTTCTCTAAAAGTGGAATTACTTGGTCCAAGAGCTAAGTATAAGTCTCTAAATACTTTTTTAAAAGTATAAATTTAAATATTTACTGGTAGTGTATGGGAGGAACTGCTTTGTTATATGAGGGGGCGTCAGAAAGTTTGTGGGAAAATTCCATTATCTTTTCATTCTATTTTTCCTAGAGCTTTTTGAAGCTTTCTTATATTTTATTAATATTGGATATTATTACAGACTTTTTTTTTCATATGGTAACCAAAAAGCGTTGTTGCTAATCTTAATTTGTATTTTTCCATTCTCATTATCTTTGTATTTTGAAAATTGTCATTCATATTCTTTACCCATTTTCTGTTGTACAAAGGGAACTTCAAAAAATTAATGGGAAAATTCCATTATCTTTTCATTCCATTCTCCCACAATGTTTCTATAGCCCCTTGTGTTCATCTCTTTTATTATTTACATAATAAGATCATAAAGCCTATATGTTGCAAACATTTGTGTCCAGTTTTCTGATTCCTCTTTACTTCTATTTATGATTTTTGTTTTGTTTGAACATGGTAGAGTTTTTAAATTTTCATGTAGTAAATGTCACTTTTACCTTACATGCTTTCGTTTGTGTTCACAAAGTCCTTACCTGTCTGAAGAACTTTTTTTTTTTTTTTACTGTTTTATTGTGAATTATGTGATACTTTATGTGGGAGAACATTAGCGTTACATTCATTCTATTGTATATCATTTCATTGTCACAGTTACAGTCCCCTCCATGCATCATCAACCAACCGAAGGGTATACCCTGTAAGCCTGCCCCCCAGTCGTCAGCACACAGCCCCCTCCCTCTCTGGGTCTAGAGCCCCAGCCGCTCCATCTCTCCTCATCATCGTCTCTGCCTCTATCTCTGGTGTCACTGTTTCTCTGGGTAGGGTCCTGCACCCCGCACTTCTCCCTTGATGGTCTCAGGGACCTCTGCTCCTGGACTGCAAAGTCAATTATTCCCCTCCTTTTGCTATAAAATGTCTACCTTTACATTTCCAACCCTCACAGTCAGTCCTGATAACAAATATTCACTATTGTGCCACATGAGTGCTATCCCCATCTCCTTTCATCAGCCCCGCCCAGACAGATTGGATACTACTCAGTGGAGATTCTGCCTTCGTCTATGCCCTCTGGATCTAAGCTCCCTCCTGAAAGCTTGTAAGCCAGTCACTTCTTGCCTTTGTAGCCCCCCTTTTTGGGTAGCCAATGTCCAAGTTGCCCATTCTTGTTTACCCTGTGTATTGAGGGGGTGGGAATGATTCTCGCTGTAAAGATTTGTTCCCTCTTTTGAGCTACTGCATCCATAGGTGTAGGTCAAGTTCATCAAATTGTATCAGATCTCTGTTTTTTTCCTCTTCTTTCCTCTTCTAGTTGAGTTCTGATCATCCAGCCATTGAAGCCTGGTCAAGTGGGTATTATCTGCAAGTGTGGTTGTTCTTATGCATATGCCGTCTCTTCTTATCAGCTGGATGCTTCACTTTCCACTCTAGTCCTCTGTGGCTATGTCACTGACTCTGGGCCCAAGAGTCCTCATATCTTGCCACACTGCTGGCCAACCAGGTCTCCACCTAGGTTCACAAGCGTCTATTGAATGTTGTAGGGCTTAGCTTGCAGCTTCATTGCTGTTTTTCCCTCACTGCCCTTATTGGTGACAAACATGGTCCCCACTCAGAGTGCATGTCTACATGTGTATTCCCATTGAGTCTTAGTCTTGGAAGGGGACTGACCTGAGGGGACCCGACCACTTGCCTTGATGTCTCCTGGGTGAGCAACTTGCTTGTTCTTGTAGTCCGTCGGACTGCCGTTATTGTTTTGTGTTTTTCCTGTCGGTCTTTCTTTCAAGAAGTATCTTTTGTTTGAAGAACTTTTTAATATAAGTTGACTCTCTTTGGCTATATGAGATGGAAAAAACAAAAAACAGTTTTTTCTAATTGTGATAGCAGTATTGATTTTTAATGACCCAAGATTTTTTCCATTGATTTGAAATGCCAGCTTTCTAACATGCTATGTGTTTATATCTACTGGTATTTTGGGTTTGCTTTTTTTGTTTTTGTGAATGGGATATGTTGTTGTTTTCTTTTCTATTTACATCCAGGCTTTGCTGGTACATAGATAAGCTATGGACTGCTGTTAAGTAGTCGTTGTACACAGTTCTAACATTTCCACTTGTTTTTCACGTTGTTCTCTTGGAGTTTCTGGGTTGTTGTTGTTGTTGTTAAGTGCCGTCGAGTCGGTTCCGACCCATAGCGACCCTGTACAGGGTTTCCGAAGGTGTAAATCTTTGCGGGAGTAGAAAGCCTCATCTTTCTCCCGCGGAGCAGCTGGTAGTCTCGAACCGCTGACCTTAAGGTTCGCAGCCCAATTCGTAACCACTACGCTACCAGAGCGTAGTGGGTAGGACATTTTATATGTAAAGATGACAAATATGTTTCTTCTAGTAGTTGTGCAAAGGAACCCTGGTAGCTCAGCAATTCAGTGCTTGGCTGCTAACTGTGAAAGGTTGGCAGTTCAAACCTACCCAGTGACCTTGTGGGAAAAGGCTGAACGATCTACTCCAGTAAAGATTGCAACCTAGAAAACCCTGTGGAACAGAGCAGTTGCAGCCTGCCACACGGGGTCGCTGTGAGTTGGGATTGACTCAATGGCATTTAACAACAACCCCATAATTAGACAGCTCATACTGCCTTGTCCTGAGCCTCCACCACAGTAGCAAATGGTAATAATGATCAAAGGTTCCACATTTTATGCTCTGTAGGACTCTACTGCAATGCCCAGGTGAACCGCAAGGTCAGCGGTTCAAATCCACCAGCTCTCCTCGGAAACCCTATACAGGGTTTCTATGAGTCAAACCTGACACGACGGCACTTAACAATAACAACTGTCCTGTTTCTCTTCTTAGATGTCTGTACCTTAATTCGAAGATGCCCCAAACTTGTCCACCTAGACTTAAGGTATGATTTTATTTATTTTGTATCAAAAGTAGAGAAAGCATAACTGCTCATGGAGTAGAACCAGAATCTTACTGATGGATGAAAGGAGTTAAGCAGCAGACTGTTTGTGTTTTCCTCACTCTAGGATTGCTGGAGAGGGTTTGACCTTCGTTTCTTGTGCTCTGTTTTAGTGACAGTGTCTTGCTAAAGAATGACTGCATGCAGGAATTTCACCAGCTCATCTACCTCCAACACCTGTCACTTAGTCGATGCTATGATATTATACCTGAAGCTTTACTGTAAGTATTGTTTGTGGAACCGATAGTCATTGTTATTAGGTGCTGTGAAGTGGGTTTGGACTCATGGCACCAGAGAACAAAACACCAGCTTGTCCTGAGTCATTCTCACAGTAGTTGCTCCTCTGAGCCCACTGTTGCTGATACTGTTTCAGTTCACCTAATTGGAGTATTCTTCTTTGTCGCTGACCCTCCACTTTACCGAACATGATGTCCTTCTCTAGGCAGTGGTCCCTCCTGATAGCATGTGCACATTATGAGAGTAATAATGACTATTAATTATGACTTCAAGAATCTTAATGTTGAATGAACGTAGACAGAAATAGTCTTCACCACTCTAGGATTGATTGATGGAGATGTTTTGAACTTCTTTTCTGTGCCTCTAGAATTAATATATTGTCGTGACAACTAGTAGACACTTAAAACTGAAACATCAATATCAGTGTACCGCAGATTGATTTTGAAAGAACATCAAATAGAAAAACCAAAGTAGAGGTTTTTTTTTTTTTTTTTGCTTAAACTGCTTATAAAGTTGAGTTGGCTAAGATAGTTCAGTTTATCTTGTGAGCAGGCTATTTATCAGTGAGCAGACTTTAAGTTTTAGAATACTGTAACTCTGGAGAGATTGCAAAAGAAGTTAAGACAGCTTTTGCCAAGCTCATGGTATAATTGAAGAAGCAGACCCAAGTTGTTGTTGTTTTGTTTTGTTTTCAAATCAACTCTAATGGATTCCAAATGCCTTTGACTGCAAACCTGTGCCTGGGCTCAGAGGCAAGGTCTATAATCTTTGAATGGGAGTTGTCAAGGAACGGAAAGATTGGGAGCGTGGAGTAACTAGTGTGATCCAAGAATCCAGTGTTCCTTTTGACCTAGTGGAGATGGAGAACCAGCTCAGTGAAGTAAGCTATCGAAAGCTGCACAATGAGTTCATGGCTGAGTTGAGTCTAGAATCTAGGTTTTCTGGACACACTAAAAATAGTCTGTATCCAATGATGGCCTGTAGGCGGGCTCATCTTTTACCTGCTCAGCAACTTCTACAGACTCACGAGAGTGCAAAGATGTATTCTGGTCCATCTTTTGTGAAACACTGTACTCAAGTCATCTTGGGAATTATATCAAATCTGTTCTCCCAAAGATTTCCCTTCATTCTGATGCAGAGACAGGAAATTTCTTCCTCATGTCAAATTTAAATAGGCATTTTGTTGAAAACCAGAGAAGTCAGTATCTTGGATTTGGCCAGTTGTCCTTCTTTTTCCAAGTTTCCTGATGCTGCCATAGAAATTCCACAAATGCATGACTTTGAAGGGCAGACATTTATTTTCTCACGGTTCTGGAGGCTACAGGCCTGAATCGAAGGCTTTACTGTGTCAATGCCTTCCCTGTCAGTATTTCTCTGCTTCCTAGGTGATCCTCACACTGCATCTGACTTTCCCAGTGTGTGTCCACGTCTGTGTTTAATCTACTCAGAATTGATTAAGTTTAGGACTTAATGATGACCTCATTAACAGAAAAATGAATCCTTATTTCTAAACTGGATTATTATATCTGTAGGCTTGTTGTTAGGTGCCATCAAGTCGGTTCTAACTCACAGTGACCTGAGTACAACAGAATGAAAGACTGCCCAATCACCTTCCATTCACACAGTCCTTTCAAACCCATTGTTGCAGCCACAGTGGCAATCCATCTTGTTGGGGAATCTTTTTCACGGACCCTGTACTTTACCAAGCATGATGCCCTACTCCAGGGACTGGTCACCTCTGAGAACATATCCAAAGTACATGACACAAAGTCTCACCATCCTCACTTCTAAGGAGCATTCTGCCTAGGTTTTGTTCAAGACAGATTTGTTCATTCTCTGTCAGTCCAGAACCAACTCCACCACAACGCTTCCAACAAAAAGGTTGTATCAGTTTTCTGGCAGTATTTTTCACCAACATAATAATTTAGAGGCATTAATTTTTCTTTGGTCTTCCTCACTTCTAAGGAGCATTCTGCCTAGGTTTTGTTCAAGACAGATTTGTTCATTCTCTGTCAGTCCAGGACCAACTCCACCACAACGCTTCCAACAAAAAGGTTGTATCAGTTTTCTGGCAGTATTTTTCACCAACATAATAATTCAGAGGCATTAATTTTTCTTTGGTCTTCCTTATTCAGTGTCCAACTTTTGCATGCCTATGCAGTGACTGAAAATACCATAACTTGGGTCAGTGTACCTTAGTATTCGGAGTGCCATCTTTGCTTCTTAACACTTTAAATTGGTCCCTTGTAGCATACTTGCCCAATGCAATGCATAGTTTGATTTCTTAACTGCTGCTTCCATGAGTGTTAGTTAT